AGTTTTTAACGCTAATATAAATAATTATTTCTTGTCTGGCTGGCGTTTTATTATTGGTAATTAATTTGAATTGTATTGAGTAGTGCGCATGAGTTTCCTTAGTCCTTACCCGTGCAAGTTGCAACTTGCAACCACCAATAGTACAATAGGGTTGCGTCTCTAAGAATTTAAAGAATAGTTTAAATTAAGTACATATATCTTCTGATAAACTTCTCTTCCTCTCCTTGTTCTTCAGTTACCTTTGAAATATAAATCAATTAGTCGCTTATTTCTTTTAATTTACTTACAAAGATAGCCCCGCCTATCTTTAATTTTAAATTTACAAAAAATAAATTAAAAAACAATTTTTTTGTTAATTTTCATATAAAATATCAATTTTCAATTAAACACACGATGAGTATAGTAAAAACAAAAAATTACTTGCTATTTTATACATAAAATCATATGATGTTATTATAAAGTCGTTCCAAAAGCGCACTAACATGTGTTTTTTTCGTGAACAGATTTGACATTTATTTATGGATAAGCAAATAATTGATTTGATACATTAGGTTAAGAAATTAAATATGGATGAGCAATTAATTATAACAACTACATATTTTGCCTCTCCTAACAGATTTAATTTGATCCACAATTTAAAATAATGGATTCAAAAGGGTGACGAAAGAGAAAAGACGTTACACGTTAAAAAGAAACTTCAACGATAAACAATCATTTTTAAGAAGATATTAATTTTTAGTTGCATAAACGTAAGCAAATAATTGCCCCCATTACGTTGGAGACATGATCGGAAAAGGAAAAAAAAAAAAAAAAACTTTCGACTGGTGATTCAAAGTATAAAGAACCGCCACTAATTTGTGTGCCGAAATAAAAATAGCACGTCTAGTGATACAAAATCTAGAAGTTTTGTACCAGAAGAAAAAATAAAATCTAGAACTTTCGACTTCGAGAAGCTTATAGAACATTCATCGAATTCATTTCCATAATATTTAAGAGATTTTTCGTGTTACGTGTCTTTAGGATACCCTATCCACTGCGTCTCAACAATATAATAATACTCTGCCATCACATAAGAATTGAGAACCTACGCAAAAAGATATGTGTGATTCTTTTTAATTGGGTCACAAAGTAATAATCGATGCACAATATATATTAAAAGGGGTGATACTCTCACCGGCTTAGGATTAAACAAATGCAACTTGGACATGGTGGTGGGAACCAAGATGCTTCGGCTATTAGCAATGGCTGACTCACTCACTCATATCCCGAGGGAATGGATATGGAGTAGTGTCTAGGTGGCGTGTCACACTATTGCTTTGCCAACACATGCTTCTTGTTGCATTCTTTGTCTTCAAATTATATTCAGCTCTGAAACTATACACTCTTTGATCTCAACCTAACATATATACGAGATAGAGGCCTAATTCAATAAAGGCTTATAGGCCCCTAAAATCATCAAAGTTTGACCAACAAGGCAAAGTAGGGATGTTCATGGTCTGGATTGAATTGATTTTAGAAGTAAAAATCATCCAATCTAATCCATTCGGTTGGATCATGTAATCATCCATTCGGTTGAGATTTTTTTTCAAATCCGATCCGATCCAATCCAATTTTTTTCGGTTTGGATTAGATCGATTTTTGATTTTTGAAAATCTTAAAATTTGTTTCATGATTATTGTGAAAATAATATTTATTGTATATATTGGCTTTGTAAAAAAAAAATTGAAATACAAAATCATCTGTAAATGATAATATAGTTTTTTTTGGGCAATAAGATATGAAGCTCTACATAAATAAAATTTTGTTGATGAGATGTGACTAGGTTTTTTTTTGGGTTTAGTTGATGGGTTAATGAGTCTTGGGTTTAGAAATTTTTGGGCTATGATTAAGGAAATGCCCAAATAGATAGAGAAAAATTAATATATTAGATCGGTTTGGATTGGATCGGTTTTTATCAACCAATCCCAAAACCGATCCAATCCAATTAAAATTTGTGATTTTTTTTCAATTTTCGGCTTTTCGATTTTCAGTTTATTCGGTTATCGGTTTTTCAGTTCGGTCACTGCGATTTGAATCGGTTTGGATCGGTTGATGAACACCCCTAGTACAAAGCGTGTGAATTTTGCCTGGTTGACTAACAAGGCAAATTGATTTTACATGAAATGAAAGGAAACATTATTATCAAGATCAGCAGCTTAAACAACTTAGCTACCACTTGTAACTAATGAATGAATACCAGTGATAAGTGTCAAAGGCACTATATTTTTAATGTCAAATATAGTTCAAATAATAATTAATATGATTAAAAACATAGTGTTAGTTAATAAAATCTAAAAGATATTAAAATATCAACAACTGGATAAGATTCTAATCCCTCTTCATATTGTTTCAGGTTTAAAGTAACAAATCACCAATTCTAAGGAATAAAGTCAGTTGCAGAGGATAAAGATCAAGAAAAATAAAGAATTAATCAAAATTAGTTCTTGTTCAGCGAGCTCCTCAGCGGGCCCAAAATTAAAGGCCCAGTTTTAAGCCTTTAAATAGAAAGTGATGAAGCCTTTGAAAAATTATTCGGAAGACGGAGGACAACAGAGCTCATGATGGCGGCAGCTTAGGAAAGAGAAAAGCTTCGTTCCGGACCTGAGGAGATGAGAAACGGTCAAAGCTTCACTGTGGGAATTGGATTTGAATCTTTATAGTTTCTTTTTATATTTTAATTTTGTTATTATGACTATGCTTAGCTAAATTTCTTTAAGTAGTTAGGGCGATACAGAACCAATGGGTTCTTAAACGTTGTTTGTTTTTCCTATGATTTATGTTCTTGATTTAAAGTTATGCAATCAACCTGTTATTTATGATTAGTTTTATTTATGACTTGATCACTCGTAGATAAACACGAGTCGTGCATGACAATAAGGATGTTGGTGTACTGATTCTGATTGGTTGATTGCTAGAGTTTGTATGATCTAGGGATAGACTTATGAATTCTATAACTGTAAGTTCTTGCGTTAATGCTTATTTTATGAAAAAGTTTTAAGGGATTAGGCTTTTGAGTGAAATAAAAGATCGGATTACCAAGGGATTGGGGTCTAATTAAATATAGAAAGATTTGTTAATAACTTGATCTTGAATGTCATCATAAGAATAAGTAGACTCGTTAGGAAACATTGGGAAAGTTGAGTCCTAGCTACATCTTTTATAAAAACTTAAAACCAATTTTAGCATTATAAATTCTGAATTTAATTTCTTGAATATTGAAAACTAAAAATAAGTAGTTTAAATTCTGAATTTAATTTCTTGAATATTGAAAACTAAAAATAAGTAGTTTAAAATTCTGTTTTAATTAAATTAAAATATTCTCAAACCAACATTTCACGATCGATCCAACTTTAGTTAAATAGATAAATTAGTGTTTGGTCATCAGTCCTCGTGGGATCAACAACTTATTCTTATCACTTTATTACTTGTACGACTGGTGCACTTGCCGAAGTCGCAAAAACCAGCTTGCTATCATATCTACTGAAGCTAGCCTGACCTTTGACTTCTAGACTAAGGAATAGCCTGTGAAAGATCACCCTTCTCCACCAATGAAAATGAACATCACCCCACGAAAGGTGTCATGAGGCAAGACATTCAACACTATAAGTACACACATTCATCTCATGTAAAATATATATCTTTGAGTACTTGAACCATATCAAATATTGAATTAACTTGAGCGTCGGAGTGACTTGCAGTCGTCACCTTGTCCGATGAAAACACATGAGTTAAAGTTGCATCAAAATCACTTGCATAGAAGAAGATCACATGGTCAGACCGATCAGATAACTGATCACTATCTTTAATAAACTTTTGTACTTCACATATTTTCATGTCATCCATTATATAAAATGCAAATTTTATTACTTTTTTAAGTATGTTTTGTTTTAGATGATATAAATTTTAAATTATTTCATTAATTTCTTTAAGTATTTATATATATATATATATATATATAAATATTTCTGCAGTTAATGCAGATAAGTTATCTGCATTTACTTTTAAAACGACATCATTTTGGGATTGAAAGATTAGAAAATTATAATTAGAAAGACTATAATAACCCTGAAATAAATTAAAATTACAAAAATACCATGATTTCCGTCAAAAAACGACGTCATATTGAACTTACTGCAGATAACTTATCTACGATAAATGCAGAAAAAATAAACCCATATATATATGTTTAGACTCTTAATATAAGTGTTATCTTTTGTAAAACCTTTCAAATATGTGTTAAGTACCTTCACAAATTCTCAAATTTTGTGCTTTTACAAGTTATTGTTTTTATTTTTATTCTTCGTAGAAATATCTAACTGATTTGTTCCAAACAATAAATAAAAAATAAATGTGACAAATGAGGTGACAGCAGATTTGCGTGCGTACGGAAATAGCAAACAAAGGTTTTTTCTTCAGATTTTTAAGTGTCATAGTTATCCCCTGCCGACCAAGCAGAAAGATAACAAGTCGGGTCTTTCTTCAATCTTCAATTTCTGAAAGCCTTTTTTTTTTTTCATAAATTCTCTCTCTGGTTTTGATTTGAATCAATTTAGTGAACTTTTACACAGATGTTACTATCCGATTATAGAAAGGGTGCTGATTTGGCCACCAATCAAACATCACAAAATCAGTGTGCCAACCAAAACCACTCTCTTCCAACATGTGAATCCCACATCTTATTAAAAAATTAGTCCTCCCCCACCATCCCACCATGGTGCTTGCCTATGCAACTTCCAGAACTTTCTGAGCCACCCATCTCTCTCTCTCTCATCCACTTCTATTAGAGGAAAGGTGCTCAATAAAAAACAAAATATTGCCCCCAAGATATCTAGAATGTTCTTAATATATCTTCTTTTATATAATTTTTTATTTAGTACACTCCACTATTTCTTCCTATTTAATCCCTCAAGACACTTCCTCTGTAGCTTTCTTCGTAGATAGGTATACCATAATACCAAAATATCCATTCTGTTTTTTAACTGCCTAAACGACTTTCCCAACAAGGAAACAGAGTCCTCTGTATTCTTTTGTTTCATCAACCAACTATGTTTCACTGATCACTATATCCTATCCTATCCTTTCCCTGAATATTTTCTTTCCTTAGTTGTGTCAAGTCTTTCCTTTGTTCTCAACCTCATAGACATTAACCTGAAGAAGCATTAGCATTTGAAGAGTAAACTGAATTGGCATATCAAACATCAAGTTTTTTCATTTTTCGAGAATGAACTATTTGTATCCAGTGAAAGAAGAAGAATACTTGGAACCATCGTCATCAACAGCAACATTTCACATAGGAGGTGATGATGAACCATCAATGGTTCCTCCTCCGCAGCCAATGGAGGGGCTTCATGAAATAGGACCACCCCCATTTCTCACAAAGACCTTCGATGTAGTGGACGATCCTATCACTGATCATGTAGTTTCATGGAGCAGAGGTGGTGCAAGCTTTGTGGTTTGGGATCCACATGCTTTCTCCAGGAACCTTCTTCCCAGATACTTCAAGCACAACAATTTCTCAAGCTTTGTTAGGCAACTTAACACATATGTAAGTGTTCTCTTCACCACCATCTCTTTAATCTTTCTTCAATTTCTATTGTATTGATATTTTACTTGCAAAGACAAATTGTAACCCAATTTAGAAACCAATCCCATGTTTCCTTTGAATGAAAATAAGATTTTTTCCCCCATTTTTTCTGCGTCCTTTTGAAATGGCAAAGAATGTTACTGTTCTGTTATTTTATATTTTCTTCATCCTAGTCACAGTGGTAAGTTTTTATATTTTCAATTTTTACAAGTCAATAAAAAATTGTTTTCTGGCATTGTATTATTTGGATATTTAAAGTTATTGGTGTAGTGGGTTCTGGATTTCTCCTAACAGCTCCTGCTGGAGCACAAATTAGACCATTCATTGTAAGTTTTTCAATTTGGTTTCATGCTTTATCACTTTCTCCAATTCCAATTTATTCTGTGAGTCTGTGTTTGTTGAGTTTTTGGATTTTGATATTAAAGGTGGGTTTTTATTTTTATTTTTATAGGGTTTTAGAAAAATTGATCCAGATAAATGGGAGTTTGCAAATGAAGGATTCCTGAGAGGGCACAAGCACCGGTTAGCAAACATAAGGAGAAGGAAGCAACCTTATCAACCTAGTCCTTCCCAACAAGCACAAGCACAAGCACAAGCACAAGGACAAGGTCTCTGTGTTGAAGTTGGACGTTTTGGGCTGGATGAAGAGATTGATCGTTTGAGGCGTGACAAGCAGGTGTTGATGATGGAGCTTGTGAAGCTTAGACAGCAGCAACAGAACACCAGATGCTACCTTGTGGAAATGGATGAAAGGTTACGAGGGACAGAAATTAAGCAGCAACAAATGATGGCTTTCTTAGCTAAAGCTATGAAAAATCCAGCCTTCATTCAGCAGCTATTCCAACTGAAAGAGAAGAGAAAGGAGCTTGAAGAAGCCATGACTAAAAAGAGGAGAAGACCAATTGAGCAAGGACCTGGAGGTGTTGGAGAATCAAGCTGTGGCGGTGAAGGAAGGAACACTGTTAAAGTTGAGCCCCCAGCTTTTGGGGAATATGGATTTGAAGTGTCAGAGCTGGAAGTGCTAGCTATGGAAATGCAAGGTTTTGGTAAGGGGAAGAGAGAACTGGAGGAAGAGCCTGAGCCACTAGAACAGCAAGAACTTGATGAAGGGTTCTGGGAAGAACTGTTCAGTGAGAATTTTGAGGGTGAATTAGACATTCCAACTTCTCAAGGTGAAGGTGAAGATGAAGATGAAGATGTTAATGTGTTGGCCTATCGCTTAGGTTACTTGGGTTCAAGTCCTTTCAATATTGCTCCAGATGAGGCAGTGGAGTCATCCCAGTTGGCAAGACAGTAAAATTACCAAGCAGAATATCTATGGAAATGATTTACTTTTTGGTGTTTCTAACCCCCATTTTATGTCCTTTTGTAGCAATTGGTAAAAACCTCAATTGCTCACTTTTCTCAATGTTTGATTAGGTAGGTTGCAGCTGTTGCTTGGACAAGAATCTGTGACTCAAGGTTTAGTTGTTTTTTTTTTTTTTTTTTTTTTCAAGAAAAAAAAAGGTTCAGTTTTTGTGTGTGTGTGTGTGTTTTTTTTTTGTACCAACTCAAATTCCCTATGTAATGCATCACATGAACCCAGATACTGTCTTTGCCTCTTGTTGTTTACCTTAGCGATGTAGATTATTCAGAAGCAGTAGAATGGATACGAAGTAGCTGATCTCCAAGAACAATAACTGAATGTTGCTTTTGAATCAAGAGCATTATTTACTCAAAAGGTTCTTACCCACTCAAACACCCCATGCAATGCATCATATGAACCCAGATATTGTCTTTGCCTTTGTTATCTTAATTACATTAACTTAGCGATGTAGATTATATTCAGAAGCTGTAGAATGGATACAAAGTAGCTGATCTCCAAGAATCATAACCAAATGTTGCTTTGAATCAAGAGCATTATATTTACTCAAAGGTTCTTTCCCACTCAAACATGCACCCCATGCAATGCATCATATGAACCCAGATATTGTCTTTGCCTTTGTTATCTTAATTACATTACCTTAGCGATGTAGATTATTCAGAAGCTGTAGAATGGATACGAAGTAGCTGATCTCCAAGAATCATAACTGAATGTTGCTTTGAATCAAGAGCATTATTTACTCAAAAGGTTCTTACCCACTCAAACACCCCATGCAATTCATCATATGAACCCAGATATTGTCTTTGCCTTTGTTATCTTAATTACATTAACTTAACGAATGTAGATTATTCAGAAGCTGTAGAATGGATACGAAGTAGCTGAGAACTCCAAGAATCATAACTGAATGTTGCTTTTGAATCAAGAGCCAGTTGGTGGTTAACCTTGTCGGTTTGGTTTTCCCCCCCTTTCTACTTTTTCATTATTTGTAGTTTGCCATGTGGTCAGAAATAAAACGAGGCCACCATCTGTACTATTTTGTTAGGTATCTTCATGTGTTCATGATTCCGTTCTCATTCAAAAACCAAAACAAACAAAAAACTTTGCGGGCTCTAAAGATGAAACGTGTCAGTGTCTAGAGCATGATCAAATAATGAAAGTGATCATTTTTTGTTGGAGTCCCTTCTTACTAGTCCTAGGGGGTTGCAAAAGTGGATTGGCAACCTTCAGATAATATTTTTTTTCCCTCTCTTTCTTTCTGTCAGGACACACAGATCGTGGGGCCAATTAACTTGAACAATCTGAATGTGGAACGAGTCTGGTTTTGCATGAATGAGTGATAGCCCAATTCTTATTGAAAATTGTGATATTCTGAGGTGTATAGCGATTGGTATATTTTTACTACATACTGTCTGAAATTTTCCAAAAGAGATTAATGGTCTTGTCTGGTCATGGGAAAAACACTAAATTTGTCTCAAGTATAGCTCTGTCAGTGACCTAGGTTGCATTTCTTAATAGGGGCAGATTTCCCATCGGAAAATATTATTTAGATAAATTTAAATACTTGATTAATGTGAATAGTCTTTAACATTGGTCTTAAATGATATAAAACTGCTGTCCGATCCGCGAGGATCAGGATGTCTAAGTGTGGTTGATAATTATATTTTGGATTTATACTTTCACGAATGGTAGCAGATTATTATGTAGATTAATAATGACGTATAGCTGAAAGCGTGGAAATATGTATTGTGATAGTTACGAGAGTATGGAATTTAGAGAGTGTATAACTGGTTGATATAACCTCTTATTTATAGATGAATTATTTGATAAGTGTGAATTTCTGAAGCTCTTAAGAATAGTGAGGATTCAATACTTGATCCAGTGATGATATACTAAGATTGATATCTTTAGGCAATATTTTTTTCTTTATCTCTCTTAGTTATTATATATGTCAGGGGCTACTAAAATATCGACTCATAGGGTGGGTCAACGTTAATATGGTTTTATATTTAGAACTATAAATGATGAGATAAGTTATTTTACTTCTTATTTTTTCTGCTTATTTTTTTCTATCATTTTCTAACACCGTTAGATCATAATCTCAAGAGGAAAGAGAAAGATAAAAACATTCTGATCTAACGGTATTGAAGAATGATATGTAAATATGCGCAGAAAAAATGATAAATAAAATAAATAATAAAAAAAAAATGCATACACGTTGTCCAAATTAAAAAGTACCCATATATAGTGTCAGCATGGTCATTGTTTTCATGCTAGATGTAAATCTTATATACACTCATAAGGTGCAGATTCAGGTGAAAGATTTGAAGTGATTGGAGGCGTTTTCTCCGTATTGCGCTTCGGAGTCAGTGATGTCAAATTTTAAGGTACCATTACTGTTGTAGGTACAAATAAGGAGAGCAAGAGAACCAAAACGAGAGTTAAGTAATTCTTTTATGTTTTCATTTCTCCCCATCTGAGAATCCTTTGGAAGATTATTCATAATCGTCGTACTAGCCTACTTTGTCGGATAGGGTTACATTTTAAGTAATTATCAAACTGAATTAATTAGTTGAATAAATATTTGTAATTAACTATGAACTTTATTAACTACTTATCTAGTTAACTAACTATTTATGAGACTAACAAAAGATGGTTAATTCAAGTAGTACATATTTGATTCCGTTTAAGTAAGGTTTTGAGCTTAAATTTTTGTAAATGTAAATTTTTTTTTTTTTTTGAAAAAGCTAAATTCACTATAATATGGATGTAATTATAAACCTATTTGATTGAATTAAACATGCATTCTGCGTGTGAAATTATTTATGAGTATTCCTACCACTCTCTGTGGGATAGAATTCCATGATCAAAATTCGTCATTATCTCCTCCTCATTTTATTCTCTTTTTATTTTGTTCCTCTTTCCTTTATAACTTTCAAACAGGTTTTTTAGTGTGCTTCACTGTAAAATATATAAGTTTGAATTTTTAAAGTACACAATTTTACTCTATTAATGCATATACGTTTTTATTTAGAAAATATTTTTAAATTTATTACAAATGAAAATTTTTACTATTAAAACTATGACATTTTCTGATGTTTGATAACGTAAATAATTTTATATTGATATTGAATTAAAAGTAAAATCCTTTACTAAATCTTCTATTGTTATAATTATAACATTAATGATGGTTACTATATTAATATCATTTAATAATATAGTATCATTTATTTTTTAAAAATATTGTAAATAAATGGGTATTACTAAAATGATACAGCGCTAATATTTATTAAATGTGCAATAATTGATCTAATTTAAACTCTTACATTAAACTAGTGTAGTGTTGAAAAGTTCGTCTTTGAGATAACTCATTGTCAGAATCGATTGTGACATCCTTAGATATTTTGTTATAAAGCCTTATCGGTGGGAAATCTGAAATTTGTGACGTCAAGAATAATCAAGATAGATTTTGATATTGATATGGCACTCCATATAAGTGTTGCGTATTGAAATCGAACCTGTTTGGGATAAGAAAACCGGATATTTAAATATTCTTGGTGTAAAGCATAGTTCCCTATTTGTGGAGAAAATTTAATATGCAGAGTGCATATTACCAGATCAATTATGTAGTGATATATGGCAGAAGAATGAAATGAAAATTGACAATAAAATGAGAACTATATATATGATATAATACACTGGCATTTAAGAATATCTCACCATATCATACAAAGAAGCCACGCAATTTTAATTAGTTTTGTGGTTGACTGGGTTGGTTATGATGCTGAATATTGGGCTGGTTCACACGTTTGGTCTAATTAAATTTACAACTAAAAATTCTTACAACCAAATCCCATATGGATTAAACGAGGCAAATTTCTCATTTACTTGATGACCTCATATTATTCTTGCTTAGGGTCACATGAATGTGTTAGCTGGATGATTGAGAAAAGGTTCCAATGCTTATTATCTGAAAGACCAACGTATCATGTGATATATTCATTTATGTGGTTTTTCTTTTGATGCTATCTCCGTGTGTGTTGGCTATTGTTTTTCTTGTCTTTTTCGTTCTTCATTTGTGTCCAGCAGGATACATGTATCGCAGAGGTAAACGGAAACATATCATATCATCCAAGTAAGCAAACAACAATATTAAAAAAAAATCAAAAGAAAAAATCTCTACTACACTGATGATGACATTTGGACTCTGATGTCATTACAAAACAGCCTATAGATCAGCAATCCCAACGAAACAACAAAGACAGACCCATTAAAGTTCTCATGATATGTTTTTACATTCTATGATTAAAGTTTAAAACGGTATATCACACATTGCAAGTATATGTCGTTTGCATGGAAAAGTTAGTATTTATAACATATATAGAAGCAGATATAAGTAAGTCAACGAAGTAGTTGGAAAATACAAGACCTCATATATGATCAATCAAGCACGTGGTTTGTGGATTGTGCAGTACTATGCTCTAGTGAGTCGTTGCTGGTTTCTGCTATCAATCTGCTGTTTGCGTTTAATGTGACTTAAGCTACTAAAAACTCTCAATTTAACTGATTCTACACTGCGTTTAAGAACATCAAAATATAATATAAAACATAATACATATTTGGTTTTTTTGTGTTAGATATACGTAGCAATGTGCATATGTGCTTGGGGAACAATCTCTTTACAAATTTATTTTATAAATTTTTTCAAATTATATTATGTACTCCCGAAAATACATAGTGTAACTCAGTGTACTTCAGGAGCATATAATATAGTTTGTAAATAAAAAATTTGTAAATATAACCATCCCTTATGTGCTTATCTTAAAGTTAAATTAACTTTATAATTTTATTACAGAAACTCTTTTAAAAGGATCAAGTGATAAATATTAGGGTTTATCTAGTCTCATGTTGCATGAGAGAAGAAATCTTATGTTGTAGATACGTAGTGGTGGGGCACACTATCTAAAAAAAGAAAAAAAAGAAAAAGAAAAATATTGCACGGTTATCGAAGGGTGTGTAGGAAGAAAACTTACCTCATGTGACATGAGAATAGTTTTTCCCTAATTATTAATCGTGTAAAATAAAAATCTCTCATTATTGGATATTATTAAATTACTAATCCAATTTATTTAAAAAACAAATTAAAGCACATTAAAAACTGGACTGTTCCCCAATGTATTCATGGAAAGTATTTCTCATGCTTCGACACTATCATTGATTGGGTGGTACTTTTATGAAAATGGAGAGAATAAAAAAGGAAAGAGAAAAAATAACATAAATAGAAGAAGAAAAATTGATCTTGTGAAAGGGAGCACCGAATTTTGGGTGCTGCCCGGCCTTAAAAAATATGTTCGCAATTGTGAAGTTCTCTCCATAACTTTTTTTTAAAAGATATTTTAATCGGTACATTGCTTCGCAACTAGTCCGATTCAGGACTGGTTCTGGAATTAAGGCTTTAAATTCCTCCCAAAACAATATTGGAAAGGATCAAACACATGCTCTCACACCTGCTCAGTTCTCTGGCACCAACTAATCTACCATCATTTGATTTCTCTCCATAACTCTAACCACTAGCAGTGGGATTTTTAGAATAGACAACAGCACAACAACATTCATTAGGAGGCAACGACCATTTTGCCACGTTATTGGCAAACATTTATCGGAATGCTATGCTCCCTAAAAAATGTCACGTCACCAAAGACGTTACGACACCTGTCGTTTTACGTTTGAACATGTGTCAACGATTTGAGGCCACATAAACTCGCTGAATAGTCCAGCATTTTCAACCAGTCAACATGTTAGGCCTAAGTCGCTTTACTGTATAGCGCATTACGTGACGTTTTGCCAATATTTCTTTTTGCATATCTGATTAATTCATTGGGCTAATATAACTTTAAGGGAAATATTGGACATTAAATTAAAAATCAATAAAATTATATCAAATATTTTCCTTAAAGCAAATCGTCTTTATTGTTTATTATATTTTTCAAAAAGAAAACAAAAAATAAAATCAGTATTTATTGGACATTAAATTTGTAAAATTGATTAATTCATTGGGTTGGTAACGGTAGGTTTGAATCATGCAACTCTTAAATGTTTTCTATGCTTATGAACGCTACTTGGAAA